CTCCTCGAGCAAGTCGAGTTCATCCGAGACCTCCTCGATGCTCGCCACGGAGGCTGGCCTCTTCGAGAGCGTCCTGAACTGCATGTGCACCTTCTCGCTCTTGCTGCGTTTCCTGACCACCTTGGTTTCGTACAGCTCCATTTTGGCCGTCCACAGCTGCACGTCCTCCCCTTGCCGTGATACCCCTTCTGGCAAGAAAACAACGAACACAACATCGGGATGGGCTCCTCCATTCTCCGCTTCTCCACATCCCCATCTCGCGTCGATAACGATGTGTCGCGCCCCAATCGGACCGCCCCCCCTCCCCCGCAGGCCAGACGAATTCTCACGAATGGGCCGCATGGAGCCACCCTGCTCCTGCTCCCGAGCATGGGACCGCAAACCCGCGACTGCCATCCGACTGCAGCGATGCGGGATCTATTGGGCGCCTTGTTGCCGAAGACCCAGGAAGCAGGATGAGGAAACGGAGGGCTGGAAGAACAGCTTGAGCAGGAGAAAGGAGGAACAGCCGTGCGCAGCCCAGAATGATCTTGCCGACCCGTCGCACGACCCGAAGGCGTGCAAGGCAGCAACGAGACATACGGTGCCAGCCGTGTAAGCAGGACACAGCAGATATGGGCTGTGCAGCGGGGTACCACGTGCGGCAGCGCGCGGCAGGAAACAACGAACCACTTCCACGCACGGCCACCCAACAACAAACACTCAATTCATAGCGGGCATGACGAACTAAATCCGCGTGCGCGCTTCGATCCCGCTGGGACTCCAGACCAATTCGCCCACACACGGAAAATTGTCATGAAGCGCGACACTGGTAGCCTCGTGTTTGCTGGTAGAAGCAAGCCGCATCCTGACCTCGACGCCGAGCACATTCCTCTGTGCAGTAGGGCTATGCTGGCGGTGCAGCATGCGTTGCCGTCATCATGCAAGATCGGGTCAGATCAGCTTTACGGTCGCCCCCTCATGATCCATATCTTCTCGCCCATCTCCTCCACCTTGGCTTCCACAACCTCCGCCTCCAACTACTGAATCTATGCATTACCCTCTTCATCCGTTTCAATGCCCCCTACGTTCTCAAAATCGTCGTCCTCCTCACGTCCTCCTCGTCTCCCGCCGCCGCATCCGTCTCGTAGTCTTGCTCTTCCCCGTGTTGCCCCGTCGACCTTGTCCTCCTTCTCCTCCTCCTCCTCCTCTCCTCCTCCTCTTCCTCCTCCTCATCCACCATCGACGTTCTTGCATTGGACCAGCCCCGATCGTCCAGAAGGGCCTGGAAGGCCACCTGGAACACCTTTGGGGCCGCCTGGCTGCTCCTAGGAACGGTCTGCAGCCCACGCCCTCCGGGAGCGCTGCGGAGCGGAACTGCTGCATCTCTGTGGCCGTGTTGGCATCCCTTGAGCCGCCCTTGGTTTGGACGCCCAAAACGGGTACGGAAACAATGGGTACATTGCCCAACAACAACAAATGTTGTCCCAAACCATCAGCGGCCGCTGTTGGGCAGGCGGCCTTCTGTCTCAAATGGGCATAGGCCGCGGCGGCGCGGACAACGAGTCCTGTTCAAAATGAACAAGAGCTGCTGTTGAGCAATGTACCAATTCTTTCAGTGCCCATCTCGTTCTTGCAGACTTGGGTTCCTACCTGGAGCCGTCCTTGGGGCCTGCTGTTGACGGCCGTGGGCGGCCGCTCGGAAGTGTCTCAGGATGTCCTGAGCCTTCTCTACACGCCTGGAGGTTCTCGTGGGCCGTCTACGCGCTATTCTGGGCCGTCCTGGGGCTCACTTTGCCCTTTTCTGGGGACGCTCTCGGGCAATACTGGAACCTGCCTGTCTGGAACGCCGGACAACAGCAACACATCCAAAGACCGAATTTGTGGGCTGATTTAAGACATGTGAACACGTGTTGGAGCCTATATTGAAGCATCGTATGATATTTGTTGTGCCGTGGAGCGTCCCAGGCCATCGGCCATCGTGGGCAATTTGACAAGCCTTTAGGCATCATTCCAGGCCATCTTGGAAAAACCTTGAAACCAAACGAGCTGCCCAGAAACCAACATGCCCCCCCGAGCCATGGAATTGAACACGTCGCGGGATGGGCCAAGGAATACGTAGCGTTGTTTCTGGGCCCACAAAGAGGATGCACGACGGCAATTCGAAGCCAATTGGTTTCCTTCCGCTTCATCCGGCGTGGACAATTTGTTTTACAAGTATTATGGGCATGGGTTTCTTGTTGTTCGTCGTACCGTAGATGTTAGATCCGTGGCATTCGTGTCGCGCCTCCGCCTCACTTCTTCCTTCATTCCGTCTCATACTCAGACTTCTCCGACTAACATCCGATCACACTCAGACGATTCATACACAGACCCGCTCATAGTCACATTTGTCACGCTCAGACCAGCCATAGTCAGACCCAGACACGCAGACCGCTTACACTCGGACAATCCATTCTCATACCCACTCGCACTCAGACTCACGCGCACGCAGTCCCACTCACACTCATAGCAGTTATGCTAAAACTTACTGGTCCACCTTCACAACGAGTTAAACGTTTGGTTTTTGCGCCCCACATTCTGAATGTGGTTTCTGCAAATTGTGTCACGCCTTCGCCTTGTGGCACGGTGGAACTACGAAGATTGGCAACAGACGGGTAGGGTGTCTTTGCGCGCGCGTGCGAGCGTTTGAGTGTTGCATGTGCCTGGCGTGTATTTGTGTGCTTGCATGTTTGCGCGGCGTGGCGAGCGTGCTGGGTTGGTGCATGCAGGGTCTCGGGTCTCGTGTCTGGGCTGTTCCATGCAGCGTTTTGGGATGCTCGGAATCAAATGCCACGTCCAGCCTTAGCTATGGCGTCGGGGGGCGCGCCCGTAGTTCTCACCGGCCTACGCCCTGCTCCCGGGGCCGCGGTGCCGGGTGTGACCGCCAACCGCACCGGCACGTCCATAGACCGCCGAGTCGGACGGGAGCGGTATGCGTCTCGGGGTAAGCGACTGGGCGGTACGGCGCCGAAATAGGTTCGAAGTGCCCAAACCTCCCGGTTGAGCCGAGGGGCAACGCTCTCCGGGTGCCTGGGGGGGCGTTCGGTCGAGTGCGCGCGCAGAATTGCGACGGCGCCTGGGGGCCGGCCAACCCACAGATGGGGGATCCTTCGGGTTCCCCCCGGCCCGAACTTCTCCCATCGCCTCACGGTGACCTAAGCTTGGTGCGGTGGGGGTGCGCTTTGTGGAAGAAGTCCCAGGTACGACCCTTCATGTGCTCGTCACCGCTATACGTTGGCCCAGACTACTATGAGTGGGGCGGGCGGGCACGGCTCGCTGCCATGTATGTGTGGGGGCGGTTGGATTTCTAGAATTTTCCCCCGCACAACGGGCAGCGTGAGGCTGGATCCCGCCTTATCACCAGGGACCGGCAGGCGAGGTGAGGCGCCTCGGTCTGGGCCTCTTGATCCTAGGGTGCCTTTCCTGGGCGCCGCGCAGTTGTCGTCCCCCGACCTCCGCGGAGTAGAGCGCCGACTGACAGGGGGTGGAATGGGCGGGGGGGAGGGCGGGCGGGGAGGCGCCGCCAAAGCGCGCGCAGAGGGCTATTATGGCCCAGTATCAACGCAGGAGACAAAGAAAAACAGCTCCAGTGGGGAATGTGCTCGGGTGGTCTGTCCGCTGGGGCGTCGTCGCCTTCTGGTCACTCCATTGCGCCGGGAGGTGGTCTTGCACCGCTCCCCAGGGAGTGGGGGTCGTGCACCCTGACGACGTGGAGCAGGGGGAGTTGGTCTTGCACCATCTCTCAGGGAGTGGGCCCTCTTTCCTGGCGGGCGGGGGGCGATAGCGTGGCAGCGCGTTCGGGGCCTGATCTCAACTTCTGTCCCAAGTCCTCGCATTCACGTAGTAGTTCGGGTCTGGGCTGAGGCATGGCCTCTCCTCCTCGCTCTCTCCTCTGCTCGGGGGATGGAGGGTGGGCTAGGGGGAGAGTGGGGTGGTCCAAGGGCTTTCTGCGTTGGGAGCTGCAGATAACGGAGTGCTCCCGTGGGGAGTGCGCGGGGTTCGCCTGTCATGTGTGTGTGTGTGTGTGCACATGTCATGTGTCTGTGTGTTGTGTGTGCGTGTGGTGCTTGTGCTTTTGTTCTGAGGGTGCCAATATTCGATTTCTTGTTCGTGCCTCTATCATCGGCATGTTCTTCCGGGATGGGCGTCGCAAGAGTCGATGTCCCGATGATGTGCCATCATGGAACAAGGTCTATGCCCGAGTTCCCCAGTACGGGGTTCTGGTAGTAAATGGGACCTCCCCGCCTAATACCTCCTGGTTTTCTCTCCTTCCCTCACCTCTACTGCTCTGGGGTTCGGGTCGGGGGCCAGGACCTGGGTGCTGATGGAGAGGCGAAGGGAGGCTCCCCAGCCGACATCCCCTTCCACCACCACCACCACCACTGAACCTCGCCCGTTTCCTTCTTTCTGATTCAAACTGAGCCTTACCCGCACGCAGACTCACTGGCAGCAAGGAACCAGTCAATCCAGACATATTCACTGTAAGACGCAATCGTGAGCAGACCAATCATACCCAAAACCTTCACACTCAGACCTGCTCGTACTCAGCATAGTCATACCCAGACTCTCGCACGCAAACACACACATTCCACATACACTCGAAGCATGCACGTTCGAGTTCATGCGTGCCCAAGATCACTCGTACACACTGCTCACCCCCAGACCACTTATATCCACATTCTTCCCTCATACCCGTATATACATACGTGTACTCAATCATACTGTTGCTCGCCCTCTGATACTTGCATCGCCAAACCTATCCATTCAGAGCCTCATGGCCGTCGATACGTAGCAAGCGTGGCTTTTGGCACCCTCAAGAGAGGGCCGCCGACAAAATCCGCCGAACCTGTCGGCGTGTGTGGGGTGCCGCTCTGGTCCCGTCGACGGGGAGCGTTCTTTCGCCTCCTTCCCATCCTCATCTCCCGTCGGGGGAGAGAGAGAAGGAGAGAGAGAGAGAGAGAGCACCGTTCCTCGTTCGGGGAACGGGTGCGCAGCTTGGGGGAATTGCATCCGTGTCCCCATGACGTCGAAAAGAAACCTCTCCCCGCTGCCCCTTCCCCGGCGGGCGGGGGAGGGTCCTGGGCGAGGGGGGGTTCCATTCGCATCGCCCCTGGGGGTCCTCCTCTCCCACGCCAGTCTTGCTC